TGAAGTAATATTTCAAAGGCGACAATGAGACTGGACGGGATTTCAAGTAAAAGCAATTAGTTGTAGCCTCGGACTGGAACTAATTGCGCGGACTTGAAATCCCTTCCAGTAACGCTCATCGGCTATTCAAACCGTTTGACCTTTGGAAGAAAACGTCTGCATTATGACAGCGAAGGAACACGGACACAAGATAAGTACAAGTATATACGTTTAATTTAATTCAAATAATCGAAAGGAAAAAAAACCCTATAGAAATCCAACCACATTCGGTGTCCTAGTGCCCTTGATTTGATAGAAAACCTTCTCAATTGATTAATAAAATATTTAATTACCCCGTGGTACAAATAAGAAACCCTGGTTGGTCGATTAGCTCATGAAATATTAATGAGTATGAGATTGAAATATATATCGCGATGATCCGAAACGCTTTCCTCATTATAAATRATCAAGCTCCAATGTCTAATAACAGGCATTATGATATCTTTCTTATTTCTCCTACTCTCYTCAGGCTGTGACTGGTGTTCAGGTRAAAAACATATATTGAAGAAATAATRATAATRAGTAGAGTCAAACGGAAACTATAAACTAACATGACGTCCTTAGTGATATATATGCGCGCGCGTTTTCTATTATTATTTTAAATATATAAACTCTACTTATCTAGCATTTATCTTAATTGATTTCTYAATTAATTTAAAAACTCAAAGCAGACCTTTATTTTGCTAGCAATTGAACTGGAAAAAAGAGTGATTTTTAAAACGCAGTTTTAACTTTTTTTAAGAGTATAAAAATGTCTTTTAAGCTTCTGTATTTGAGCTGATCTGCGCAGTATATCAAGAATCTCATGCAGCTGCTAATCACGAGACTAAGGCCTCGTCCACACGTATCCGGAAATTTTTGAATCCACAACTTTTTTGTTTCCGATTTAAAAACAACATTCGCGTCCACATGCAAGTAGCGTATTCGAATCGTTAAAGACCGCCCACACGTAGCCGATAGGTATACGTATCATAGGTCAAAAAGTTGCGGATTCAAAAATTCAAAAATGCAGATTCTTGGAGACAAAACAATATATTATTTTGCAAAAGAAAAGGCGCCAAATTGTTTTGCCCCCCAGAACGATTCCTCTAGGAATTCAATGCAAGCGGTCTATAAATGAAGACACAATCATCAAATCAGTGAATTCCAACTGTTAAAAGAAAGTACTATCGTTCTAAGAAAGTCGTAATATTAAGAATATTAATAGGATCGTTTAATGAAATGGTCAGTATATTAGCAATAATCTTGACTAATTTGAAAAAATAACGGATCATTGTGATTATCACGCGTTTAGCAGAGTCCTATCCATATTATGTCGTTTTACTTTCATTTCATTTATTGGTTCCCCACGGTTGATCAACTGTTTAGAAAATCGAACRATCTCGAGCACAATTCGGAATTTATAGGTACTCAATGTTTTCGCCTAAAGGCTCGTCCAATTTTGAAAGCTTTCAAAACATTGAGTACCTATAAATTCCGAATTGAGTATCTTAAAACGAGTATCACGAATATGTACGAGTGTGCGATTTTTTGTTTATGATTAACACAAATTTGAGCAACTTAATTGGGACTCTACAGAGTACAATTTGGGATCTCAATGTACTCTTCTTGTCCAACCAGAATAGAGTAAATTTGCAAATAGAGTACAGTAATTATAAATTTGAAAACTCCTCAGTGTACGGTAAAGTTTACTACAGTTTTCGATATTCTGGGAACTCGGCTTGTTGTGGAATTGTTTTGATTCACTGCCGACGATCAAGAACCGACTGATTGTTTTTAATTGACGACAGCGAAAAACCAAATTTCAGCGTTCAGTTTGTAAGTACCGAGTTTGCAGAATATGGAAAACCACAGTAAATATGCTGGTTATAAAATACCGTTTGGCTACTGATAATTTTCTTAAGGGATAAAACTTTGCCGGATGTTATTGATGTGGTTCAGTGGTCTATGGCTTTTCACTGGGTTTGCATATTATTTACCAATATAGTCTTATCAGGTCATTTGATATTGTTAGCAATTGTGAAAGTATTTGGTTTTAAGCTTTCAGTTTCATTTTCGTTTTTAACAATGACAACATTCAGCAGGGAATGTCATAATATAAAATAATAGAACGTTTTGYTTTTTTCCATCCTTTCTATACATGTTCTAACATGTTAATAATTACACTTGAACTCGCTTTAATTATTAACGTGCTACTCTGACGAAAATCGCTCAAACTTGGATTCAGCTGAAACTTCCTAAGAATACTTTTTAAAGGTCCAATAATGTTGAGTGTATGACGTCACAGACTCCAAAAAATAATCGTAAAAATATCATACTTTCGTCCTGAATATCGAGAAAACACTTCATACAGTGATTATTGGACCTTTAGAGAGTATTCTTGGGAAGTTTCAGCTGAATCCAAGTTTGAGCGATTTTCGTCAGAGTAGCACTTTAACGTGGACCAATATTATATCTGTGGCTCTAGTAAAAAAAAAAAAAAATTGGTAATGTACTGGTTTAAAGCAAACTATATTTTATCAGCTTCAAGTACGACAGATTCGTTCATCGTTAAACCTGACGAAGAAGTGTACAGTAAAAAAGGCAGTGATGTCACATTAGAGTGGTACTTCCACGTCGGAGCCTGGTCAAGCTCACTTGGAGTGTTTGAATTTCTTTTTGGTGTTTGGGATGATCCTGGCTATGTGAAAAACAAGATCCTGGTTGTCCAAAAACGCAACGCTGTATCTAAACGAAGAGGATTTGAAAGCAAGGTGAAATGGAGCGGGAATATTTACGACTGTGTGAATTGTACAGCAAGAGTCAAAATGTACAACTTGACGGATGTGGACTTCAAGAGGTATGGCGTAGAGGTGGAAGTAAGTTTGGACAGGAGCCACCTTACAAATTGGCTGAGACTTGTAAAATTTGGTAAGTTATAACATACTTTAATTGTCAGTCAGTTACATGCTAAGAAGGTGGATAAGAAGAAAGGAAAGAAGGGAGGAAGGAAAATCGAAAATAAGAAAGGAAAGAAGGAAAGAAGGAGGGAGAGAAGGAGGAAAGAAAAAGAAGAAAGAATGGAACGAGGGAACGAAGGAAAGAATGAACGGAAAAACGAAGGAACAAAATGAAGGAACGAGGGAACAAATCATGACAGTGAAGGGAGTAAAGAAGGAAAGAAGAGCTGAAAAAGAATATAAGGAGAGAAACAAGAAAGTCCATTTATTTATTTTTTTCATTTCATGCACCCTTCGGCAGAACCTGCAAAAATCATAAACTCATCATGGTCGCGCGAGCAAAGAATTGTGGTCGCAGAAGGTAACGCAACGACTATCGAATGCAAAGCGACAGGCCGTCCAACGCCTTCTGTCATCATCAAGAAGAGGAATCGTACACTGTGTCATAATAGTACAGGACACTGTGTGTACGAGATTCGAGAAGCCAAGCCCGAAGATGAGGGAGAACACTTGTGTTTAGTACAGCAAAGGAACTACAGGCCAATCAGACGTTCCTTCAACCTGACGGTGGTAAAGGGAAGAAATACGATCAATACAACACAAGATGAATTCCATAAAACCAACATAGTGGTGATAGCACTACTCGGTGCTGTTGGTGTTGTGCTCGTATTGGTGGTGATAGTATTTCTATTCAAACGAGTTAAATTTTGCAAAAGTAATTCAGAGCAACAACAACAGCTACGTAAAAGCTGCGGAAAGAATTTATAATTTCTCGAAAAGGAAGGAAGTCACAGTTTAAACCCTATTGCACCACTACTAAAGCGACAGCACCACAAGAAAATACACGCACAAATGCAACTTAGGGAATAAAAAAGGCCTTTCGAATAGCAAAAAGACGGGCAAGATAATCATGCTCGCAAACATTTAACAAACGGAGTTTTGCTTCTCGATATAATCGCCCCATGTAAGGGAATCCGGACTTATGGTGGATTCCGGATTCCAAGCGCTGGATCTTACCACAGTTTTCCACTCGCTCATGATTTCACTGCCCATTCTAACTCTGTTCTTCCTTTCTGAGAAATACGATCGTAACAGTTCAATAGCATCATCACCAAATCCATATCCCTTGAGCTTCGCTAACAGTAGTKGTGGGTTTAGAGAATCAAAAGCTTTAGATAGATCAGACGACAGCACTCCGATTACTTTTTTCTCATCTAGTGATTTTTTCCAATCTTCCAGGAGATTTATGAGCGCTGTCTCACAACTGTTTCTTTTACGATATGCTGTTAAGKTCSTGCTCAAGTAAGGTTCWATATAATGCGATACTTGGCCTGCCAGTAACTGCTCAAATACTTTATCAATCGTGCTTAGGACTGAAATTGGCCTGTAATTCTTCAAATCCTTGTGATCATCCTTTTTAAAAACCGGGACCCAGATTCCTTTTTTCCAATCATCCGGYCAATAACATTTTTCTATGCAGCCATTAAAGATCCTTGTCAATGATGGTGACAGCTCATTACTTGCAATACTAAGTAGTCTTGGAGATATTTGATCGTGCCCGGCACTTTTATTTTGGTTTAAGTTCCTCAAGGATTTTTCTACCTCGCCRACGTCAAGTCTATGGAATTCAAATTTTGGGGCATTGACGATTTTCGTGAATTCCGGATTCCCTTACATGGGGCAGATATAACAAAAATGTTTTATCCCATGAACAACCAGAACAAATGATTGAATCTCATAGAAAGATTCTATGATTCAGCCGCATTTAGCTGCTCTACCAACTCGAAAGTTTCAGTTTAACTTCTTTTGCCTTCAGACACGAAACTAAATTCCTCTGCACATTATGCTAATTTACACTTATTATCGATTTCTATTGCTTAAGTATAACTCACTTTGTAATATATGAGTAGTCCAGTACCGCTCTAAAGCTGGATTTTGATTGCTCCTTAAGTACAGTACCGCTTTCGTAAGGTTAGGTTTAGTGCTATTGTTTGGRTGACCAATCTATTGTTTTTTAATTTTTTAATTTTTCCTTCAACTGATAACATCAAAGAACTCGAACGCAGCAACCATTGGCAAAACGAGTGGGGTTTGGGCACTATAATTCGTCACTGTACTCATATGTAAGTTATGGAAGCAGACCTGGCTCCTTAATGAACCGATGATACGCTGACATAACGTGATGGGCTGATACCGAAAAAGCCAAAACCAGACTCAGTCAAAGATCGACCCAAGACACCCTAAACTCAGACAACACCCTAAACTCAGACAACACCCTA